AAAAAAAAGAGGGAGCGCTTTGAAACTCGCTCAGACCGGGTGGCACCAGACATTAACGCTTACCGTTATCGACCCACAGTTAGGCTGTTAGACGACTGCCGATGTTGTATGGAGTTTTCTGCTCGTCTGTTAACTTTTAAACTGAAGCTACCTTCTTATGCTAAGAGTATGGGTGTTGGAAAATACCCGAACAATTGCATTTGTGACTCCCTTGGGAAATGTTATGCTCTCGAAACATCGCACTGATACCTTTCTGACCAAAAAAAAAATTCCAAACCGTGAGTTCTTCACAGACCGGTCCACCTAGGGCAGTTTTTCCAGCTTTAGCGCCTACAGAGGCACACCTTCTGGCGTCGTTTCATATCTATTTCCTCCCACACAAACAACGAATCAAACGCCGTCTCCCGTCCGTATAATTTTCGGCTTCCGCCTCATTACAGAATTTGTACATCTGGAACGGGTTCCCATGATGAAACGCCGCTTGATTATCCCAACCCTACATAAGTCTTTTTCGGCCATACAGTTCAAATATGTCATTCGGGCCATCAAAATAGATATGGAAACAAAACCCTTTTACATTTATTGCAATTTTTCTCGTTTCAGAACAGACCGTTTGTCAGGCAAGCTTTCCAGCCGCCGATAGCTGGCGCCATTTCTGTCACATGACACCAAAAAATCCTAGTAGGTACTTGCTCTTACCCTTGAAAGCTAATCCTTTTTTGTAGGGCTTTCCTTTTTTACCGGACGTTTAATGCTTAGCAACAGCAAGATAGTTGTCCACTGTGATGCCCTGCCTTTTAATCCCATCAAACGAACACGAAACTCAGATTCTTTGCTCTCTCACTCATTGTCCTTCACTTATACCTTCCACATTTCGCATTTTTTCGTCTCGCTCTGCTACAGCTCTACTTAAACTTTTATCAAAAATCAAAACTTCTTCAGTAGTTCAAATTTGATGGCTACGCGTCTTTTCTGGAACCCGATGGCACGGTGACACTATCACACTGTCAAATGTTGCTCATCGCTACTCGAAGATTTAGTTACAATCTGAAGATGCTCTGAAGGTTACTTGGAATGACGTTTTGTTCTATTATAATAGATTCTCAGAAAAGTTCAAGACATGATGTTCAGAAAAGTTCAGAACTGATGAGCCTTTTAGGATGATTTTTTCAATAATGGAACGACTCCTATTTTCCTAGAACTTGAATTTCCATCTTATATGATTTCAATCAATGAGAGCTAGATAAAACTTGAGAAAATGACTGGAACAATGCAAGTATTACCAAAAGAGTAAGACATCAAGATGGTGTTAACATGCCATAAGGACGTGCTAAGGCGCAGTTGTTCACTCCATCCCATTCGAGATGGGTTTCCCCGTCGGGAACCTATCATTTGCCATCACCCCCTACTGTGAGTCTCTCTTGGCATGTCAGGTGGGCAGAAACGACAACTACGTTAATGCAATTAGCACTAAGCTCTCTTACCCAGCGGGTGATATGTCATACATTGAAAAGAATACGGTCAACGATGAGTCGTAGTTTCCAAAGGGGAAACTTTTACATAAAAGCTTGCAGCTCACCTCACAGATGTGGAATCTTGGGAAAATCACTGGGTTTTCGATTTATTCATTCATTTCATCCTCTTTTCGGCAGTAATTAGATTATCAGTGTGAAGTCCACCCCTCTACCACTGACAAAGAAGCGAGACTCCGCCTATGCAGTAGCGAAAAAAAAGAGACGGAAGTCTGTTTAAAACGACTCATCCGGGTGCAAGGGTGGACACCTGCGCGATCGTTTGCAGCGGTCAATGGTGTGTGAAATCCATAATGGCTAGGTTGACTGAGCCGTGCCATGAAATGGTCATGAAGATTCGCAGCAGCTATACATGTTTGGGGGGACCATGCCCCCACACGGGCTCAGTTCAGGTAGTCAGTAACTTCCGCTGCTGACATGTGCCCTATTCATCAAAGTTGATGTATCGAATGTCTTCGAAGTGCATGATGACGTAATCGAATGAGGACAAGCAGTAACCACAAGGTCATTACTTTCGCATCAATCACCTCGCCACTGAGGAGCAACAGCCAGCTCCGTTAAGGACTACGCACAAGCACCGTACTCCCGTTTGTAATTTGGCATCGATTAGTGTCACGTTACCTAGACAGGCCTGTATACGAGAGTTATTGTTAATCTACGCTAATCCCCGGGTACAGTATATCTTTCACATACGTAACAATGCTCTATTAAGGGATTACGATATTCATAAGTCTGCTGGCAAGCCCAAATACACCATGACAACGTTGGTAGTATGAATCCGGTACATGCTTTCTGATTGAAGTCTTCAAACGAAGTAGTTTGAATACATACGTCAACGCCGTTTGGACGTCGTTTAAAAGAATACGGTAGGTAAAGTGAGTTAATGGCTACCTTTCAGGAGCATTTAAAACTAATTGTAGATTGCAATCGTCGTTAGAAAACCATCGCTGCTATAGTGAAAGAAGATGAATGGTGGGGCTTGCCTCATTCCCCCGACGGCGCCGAAATCCACACAAGGAGATGTCTTCAAAAAGCTCTTACGGTGCTATTCAAAGGACAGTTCGATGAATACGNATGGCCACAGATTAAGCCATTTTTGGGTCAAATATACTTCTGGCCGAATTGGGGCTCAAGCAAGGAAACTTTTGGCACTTCTACGAAGTCAAAAAAAGGTGTTTAAGCGAACTACTCATAGTCTAGGTGAGAAGCTGAGTGAGCAGCTATCAAGTTTATTGAGGGTCAGCATATTTGTTCTCAGAATATAGGAATAATCTGCACACGCTCTTGCAATTTCTGTAGGATCAACTTTGGGCAGTTGCCTCAGTTTAAATCCCATTTCGCCTTTAACTATTCACCATTTCTATGAAATCAGGGTATGTGGCTCCCGTGCAGCCGTGTGTGTCACATACGAATTCCTTTCTCAAGTCCTCGGGATGCGCCGGATAATTTATTGTGACGATTATCATGACCAGGTTTTGGACTAGGTTTTGAGACATCTTAATGAAAACGTTGACAAGCTGTGTTTTTTCAGATGAGTTCCCGATAGTTAAGAGAGCTTCAGTAGCTGCTTAACTATTATATGTATTATGCTACTATATATTTCTTTGAGAGTCTCGGAACACAGTCGACTGATGACGATACCAATAGGTTCCGCCACTTTATGCATGCCGTTCAATTCCCAAACTTTTCTGCCTAGTTCGTGCTGTCATGGGCGGCTAAGACGTTCATTGGGTATTGGGAATGTCATAATCTTTCAATGTTGTCCTTAAGTACTTTATGGTTGGCTATGGGCCGCCCTTGAGTTCGAGAACATTGGGCTTGTTCTCTTTCAGCCACATCATTCTTTCAGACCTTGGTATTTTCAAAATTCGTCCATTTCATTCTCTGTGAAAGCGTAGAAGATCTTTTGCGGTCACATCCAGTGTTAGTGGGATGAGTAATGGCTGCTAACTTATCGTGATGAACCTTAACCTGTCGTGAAATTTTGCACTTTGCCCTGGAATAATCTTCACTATCCACTATCGAGGTGGTGCCTCCATTGCAGGATTCATCTCTAGAGGCTTATCTATGAGATCTACATATAAAGTTACCAGTGTTTTCAGGAAACGAAGTGATCGCTGACTTGTTCCTCGGTGTTTTTCAGCTGTGCCATCTGTTGCTTCTTTAATGCGGTGCGAGGTGCGTTACGTTGTCGCAGACGTGTCGAACAATAATGCTTCTAACTTGCTTGAATTGAGGATTTGCGACGGACTAATCCTTTATAGACTGCTGATATAAATCAAATCGGCACTGTATTGTGTATATGCTCAACAAAGAAGTTCCTATGTTCCAGTAGGTAACGCTCTTGAAGAGTCTTCATTTAAACTCTTCCTTCCAGAGCTGGGAGGACTGGCTAACAATGTAAACGCTTTTCTGATTGTCTTTTCTCCACGTAATCAATGAAAGACGATTGCAGACACTCGAGAATGCCCTTCTAAGACTCGCTTCCTGCAAGGGAGTTGTTAACTATAAAAGTGAGCTGTAGCTAACTCGAAACTCTTCCTGAGTGCTATTCCTCCCTTCTTTCACTTTCAAGCCTACCTGCCCACCGGCAGCCCTGTGGTAACCGCCTTGGAAATAGCATCGTCAAAGCGCAGGGGCGCAGGAGGTAGAACTTGTCTTTTATGTATTAGATAGGCTTGAGACACGGATATTACATCGTCCAGTCTCCAGTCCTTTGCTTGTATCCTCATGAAAAAGGTACAATCGCTAATCATCTTTCAGAGGCACAGTTTTCGAAGGGTTAGTTACAGTCGTGGCCGTGACTTTTATTCGTCATCTCGGAGCTTCCCAGTTATCCATGGAATTCCGGTGAACTGATCCAAAATCTCCTTGATTGGTTTCCATCCTTCAATAACCTTAGAGCATTAATCGCAGAACTCGGCTGAGATTCTGAAAGATTTAGCCCAAGTTAGTAGTTCAGCCCCTGGTGTGCTGCCTCCAAAGATTCGCAAGTTTGAAGAAAAATGCTTTCCATCTAGCTAGACCGGATAGCTGGCCTTCTCGAGTGCAGGGCATGATCAGACAGGT